GTATGGGGGTGTGTGTGTGTGTGTGTGTGTGTGTGTGTGTGTGTGTTTGTGTGTTGATTTTCAATGTATGGTGGTGATTGATAATGAAGGAAACTGAGAAGCTGGGCTGGAAAGTTAAGTTGGACCCACACAGTGAAGGGCCTTGTATACAGACTATAGAGTTCTTGCTTGGTCTTGAAGGCTGTGAGAACCACCTGTATCTTGCTCAACTGTGTAAGACAGTGGTGTGGAAGGCAGGTTAGAATAGGTCAAGGGCAAGGGGATGAGTTAGAAGGGTCTTTACATAATAAAGGCAGATTGATATAATGATATTGAGGGAGGAAAAGAGGGAGGGTGTGTCAGGTAGGAGGAAAGACTCCACAAGATTAATAAAAAAAACAAAGTTACATGCAGGAGTGAAAGGGCAGATAAGTCAAGAAGGGGCTAGTTAGCTGCCCTGACTTTAGTGACCTGGGTGCTGGGTGGCACCATTCACTGAGCTCAGGACCAGAGCCAAGGCACAGATTTGCAAGGGGTCTTATTTGGGGCAAGATGAGTGTGAGCCTCACAGACTACTCAGGTGGAAATATCAAGCAGGTGGTAGTTTTTGTGGCTGGATCTCAGGGAAAAAGCTTAGAGCAGAGAGGTCAGAAAGAAGTTGGGCCTGGAGTGATGTGAGGTCAGTAGAGAGAAAGAGGGTGGAGGAAAGAGTGTTGCCTGTGACTACCGACAGCGATGATAGCAGTACTGAATGATTATCTTTCCGTGTCTGGAATGCTTCTGGCTTCTGTGTCCCACCCCAGTCAGGACAATTTATTAGTGATTGTAATGTGAGCTTTGAGAGATCCTGATGGCAGATTTGGTTCTATACTTTGTCAGGGAATGAAAAAGACAGTTCCTCTTCACCATATTTCCCCACTCCCAGGATACCAGAGCAGCTTTCCCCAATCTTCTCTGATTAAGAATGAAATCACTTTGGGAAAAAGGACTCATGTTGTTTGAAACATATCTTGGAAATTTTGATTATCTGGGGCTTGGAGCAAGTCCTGGGGTGGGTGTAATGGGGTTTACAACCACTTTAGATGATTATATCAGGGAAATTTGAGAAATACCACACAGACCTAAATACAAACCTGTTTTGAAATCTAGTCCCAGATTGAATCTATGTTTCCTGCTCTAAATCAGATTATAGTGGGTCTTATAGTCAACCACATACTGAAACTCTGACTCTGGGCTTAAACCTACCATAACCCTGCCACGCACCAAAAGAGCTAGGATAGCAGCAGAAGAGTTCTGCATACCAGTCTATTCTGATGGGGAGGGGCTAAGAGAAGTGGCCTGGTCAACACCGTCAGTTTGAAAACAAAGGACTCTTTTATATGTTTTATAAATGGTCACGTACACACTGAGGCTAATAACACTAGAATTGTTTTGTATAGCGCTGGGGCCTTGGTGAGTCAGGATAAGATTTGAGGTATTCAGAGAGGTGTGTGTAAGGAGAATTAAAGTAGAGAGATGCTAGGGTTCAGAATTGCTAGAAATATTTAGTCCTGTTTTCCACTGCTACTGTTCCAATGCCTTTCCCTTGGAACCCTTTCTCTTCTCTGAGACATGACTGAATATTTCTTTTCTTTCCCCCCTTTCCTAGACCCTGTATTTGGGATACAGAAGTTACAACTCTTGGGGCCTGTCATGGCCACTCCAAATGGAACTCTGGTCCACCCTGGCTATTTCCTACTGGTGGGCATCCCTGGCCTGGGGCCTAACATACACTTTTGGCTGGCTTTCCCACTGTGTTTTATGTATGCCTTGGCCACTCTGGGCAACCTGGCCATCGTCCTCATCATTCGCGTGGAGAGGCGACTGCACGAGCCCATGTACCTCTTCCTGGCTATGCTGTCCACCACTGACCTAGTCCTCTCCTCTGTTACTATGCCCAAGATGGCCAGCCTTTTCCTGATGGGCATCCAGAAGATTGAGTTCAATGCTTGTCTGGCCCAGATGTTCCTTATCCATGCTCTGTCAGCCATGGAGTCAGCGGTCCTGCTGGCTATGGCTTTTGACCGCTTTGTGGCCATATGCCACCCATTGCACCATGCTTCTGTGCTCACTGGGCCTGTTGTAGCCAAGATTGGACTAGCTGCCCTGACCAGGGGATTTGTATTCTTCTTCCCTTTGCCCTTCATCCTGAAGCGGTTGTCATACTGCCGAACACGTACTGTCACACATTCCTTCTGTCTGCACCAAGATATCATGAAGCTGTCCTGTACTGACACCACAGTCAATGTAGTCTATGGTCTCTTTATCATCCTCTCAGTCATGGGTGTGGACTCCCTCTTCATTGGATTCTCCTACATCCTCATCCTGCGGGCTGTGTTGGAGCTTTCCTCTCGAGGGGCAGCGCTTAAGGCTTTCAATACCTGTATCTCTCATCTTTGTGCTGTCCTGGTCTTTTATGTGCCCCTCATTGGTCTCTCAGTTGTACACAGACTGGGTGGTCCCACCTCCCTGCTTCATGTGGTCATGGCTAATGTCTATCTACTGCTACCACCTGTAGTCAACCCCATTGTCTATGGAGCCAAGACCAAGGAGATCCGCTCAAGGGTTATCCATATGTTCTCAGGAGGTGATAGGTGAGAAGGATACGTGTCCCAGGGTCCTCAATTCTACCAAAGAGAGGGTGAGGGTCTGTCGAATGTCATAGTGATTGGAGCATCCAACCCACTGGGCTGTCTGCTTTCTGTTGTCTAAATAAATCTTTTATTTCTGTTCCCAGGAATGATTTAGTATCTAGGTGAGAATATTGCTATGTGCATCTGTTTGCTGGGCAGTGTCTTTATGTGTATTGGTGAGAATGTTCCCTGAGATTTAGAAATATAAATCTTTTAAATTAGGCACATGTAGAATGTGGTGCACATGTGTGACTGTGTAATATTGGGATGGTTGTACCCTTTAGCATGTGTGATGTTTATCTTTGAGTATATTTCTATTGTGAAAACTATTTTTGATATGAAACTTTTTGTGTGCTACATATGCCTTCAGACACATGTGGGTGGCTGTAATGTCTGAAGTATGTGTCTGCATGTGGTTTGTGAAGATTATATCTTTGAGTGTGTTTCTGATGCGTTTTAGGACCTTTTCCTTTCTGTATCAGGTATATTCTGTGGCACAAGACTGAGTATAGGTTTTGTACTCGTGAGAACTGATTGATGAATGATGTCTGTATGGGTGGAGGCAGGGGATTAAAGAAGTCTAATCATAAGAAGTGAGAGTAATTTTCAATGTTGAGAGGTAAACCTCTAAGAAACCTGAATTCTTGGTCTGGGCTCAGCCGCAGGTTATGGCTCAGTCTCTGTGAGAGAGGAGAAACACGGTACTTCTTCGTTCCATCTTCTCAAAGGCCAAACTATACTTAAGCACAAAGATCTCAGCACTTTTATCACTTCTTCACCCCTTCCCTGCCTCATGGTGTCGTTCTCAAGGGTAGAACACACACGCGCTGAAAGACACAGCCATTCCAATACTGTACAGCCCATACATTTATTTGTACAACACGTTCCACACGTTATTCTACTGAGATATTGCCTTCCTACAGCCCTGTCTTCCTTCCTCAGAAGCAAGTCATAGTATAGTCACCTCTTTCTTTTCTTTTGCTAGTTTGCCAGACATATTAAAAAAGACTTAACTCTGGGGTGATTCTGTTAACCCTTTTTGGAGAGCATGGATGAGGAGAAGACAAGTATGTGACTCTGCAAAGGCTTTGGCATCTCCAGTGGAGCATTTCACTGCAGGTGCACTGCAATGAACACATAGATGCATTTGCAGCAGAGGAAAGAATACGGAAATAGGTGTTTTAATGGCATGCCTCATATTTACTGTGATGGCAAGGCTTCTAGAACTTTCAGTGATAACAAATAGCCAGCCGCAGCACACGTGCCATAGGTTTGCCACCCCTGCCTTGTAACCCTTATGACTCTAGACCTCATTTCCTCTTCTGTGTAGTGTGAAACTTCAATAGATGTTGTGAACACCCTTTGTAAACTGTGAAGTGTTGTAAACATGCAATAAACGATCACAATTATGATTGTTCTGTTGCACAAGTTTTTGAAACAACATTTGCATCGTGGTCTATATAAATGGGGCTATGAAATTTTTCCTTGTTTCACCAGTGTGGCTATGTGTGGCTATCTTGATTTATTGCTATTAATCAGAAAATGTTTTATCTCTTGATAAGTTGTTTTCAAAAAGCTTCAGGGAAAATTGAAATTCATTTTTCTGCTTTGGGATCTGATTTATAAATGAAATTCAAAGAAAGTGGAACCTTACCAAGAGTTTCCTTTAGACAGCTGATATCCGCAGGAAAAGAGGGCATTGTTGCGTGGGAATTCAATGGAGTGCAGATTATGATCATTGGCTTTGATTTAGGGGTCATTTCCTTAACCTACTAAACTTCAGATTCTATAGGATGGTTGTAAGGATTAAATAGGGTAATAGGTATAAATATACATGGGCAATAGAAAGTGATCAATAAATGCTGGTGGCAGTAATTTTAAATACTCAGATTGACAAAATGAAAGTTGTTGATTTCATCCTAGGAAATAGTATTCAAAGCACAACAGTCCTCACCTTTCATAATAAACTCAAGTGTCAAGACGAAAAGTTATTCTCTGGTCTAGATTGAAATGTCACTGGATTTAGACTAGCTTGTGGTCTTCTTTCTTAGGAGAGCCTGGGACATCTCTGAGTTCACTAGGATCTCTTTACTTGGGTAACTGGTGGGTCATTGTTACTCTGTGGAAGTAATAATCTAACTGCCAAGGGCTTCCACAGTCTCTGTGCTTCCCTCTAACATAAATACAAACCTTTAGAAGCCAACTGGGTGCCTATTCTGCTGTCATAGATGTTACATGAAAGCTGTCTATTTATTCTTTATCAAAGAACTTACATATCCATGTTAGAGTTGTCTATCTCTCCTGAGGGTGGGGACCATGCCTTATGTCTGGTTTCAGAACCTGGACCCAAAGGATTGGATGACAGTTTAGCTGGGGCTGCTCAGCAAGTAAAAGGCAGAGTGGGTTCTGGTTAACTTTAAATAAACAGAGTCACTCTTGTTTCCCTATCAATCCTCATTTCTTACTCCTTGTCCTATAAATTATTTTCCTTAGTTTGACCAGTGTTATATGAAGAATAAACAGTACCTTCCCCAGCGATTTATAATCAGCTAAGATCTGTAAAAAACATTATATTTTAGATAATGTTTCTACTTCCATTTTAGTTAAGCAGACCAAGGCTCTATGGAGTTAAGCGACTGCTTAAGGTCATAGAGCTGAAACCAGGATAGTGACTCAGTGCCAATTTTTTCTTCACTTGAACCTCAGATCTGAAGATTTTGTTAATATGTACTAAAAGGTACCAAAACTTCAATTGGGGGGGCGCTACCTGAGGACCATGCCCTTGGGGTGTACCCCATTTCAGTGTTATACCTCTACATGGGTTGGCTCAGGGAAGGACCTTTTGAGCCCTTATTTATTTATGGCACGGCAGTTAGAGAGCCTCCCATGACCATCTTTCCTAGGGCTGATAATTCTTCAAATAATTCTCTCCCTATGACCTTACCCCTTCCAAGCCCATCAGTTTGCGTATATAATGGTGCAATTAGTCTTGGAAAAATATTTCTGACCAGTTTTACAGACCAAATGAGAGAGCCGTGTTGCTTCTCTGTGGCTTCTGCGGAGGCTCTGTCCCTCATCCCAGGACACTAAGATCAAGGTTACCTCAAAATTTAAGGTTACCTCTAATCTTTTACAGTGATTCTTTCCCTAGCTTTAGAAACCTTGATTATAGGCATATACTCATTAGTACTTGGCTGAATACTTGAGGAAGACCTTCTATTGTTTCTGGTATTCTCTCTCCCTGTGTGTCTCTCATCTCTAATAATTTACCTTCAAATTATAACTAGGTTGGTCTTCCTGAATCTTCAATTCATCTCCTCAACTTAGGGAGCCCTTTAGGTTCTGCCTGGATTCATTTTGCCTTTGCTGCAGCATAGAAACTTTCTTCAGGCAGCAAAGCTGGCAAACTGTGGATCACATTTGTTTACCTTGTCTTATGTCTCATGTCCTTCACTGACTGAGGCCTAATATTTTGAAAATTACTTTGTGTGTCATCTATTTTTTTCATGCCTTCAGGTTGATATTACTGCCTCTTATTCCATCTTGGATGGAAATAGAAGTCCTTAGGGAGCTTTGAAAAAGCCTTTGCCACTTCTAAGCTTATGGGAGGATCAATGGAGACAGCAGAGACATTTTTAAGGTTGTGGCAGAAAGTGTCAGGCTGCAAGTTCCACAGGGACCAGAAGCTCCTGTAATCAGTAATTTTGAAATGATAGGAGTTAGAATGGTCTTTTTTGACATTGTCTTTTTTATTGAGCTAGCAGGCCTTATGTTGTGAACTCATAACTATGACACTGGTGAGTTAAAAATAAGGATAAACCAAGTAAAAACCATGATGCTTTCTTTATTACAGTCATAATTTTTAATTTATTTCAAAATTTAAGGTATTCAGTTTCACATTCAAGTTGTTCTCTAACTGTCTAAAAATTCCCTTACTATTTTTGCCTTTAAGAGAGACACCAGATGGCATTGGTCTTATATGGCTGGTGTTGGGGGTAGGGAAGGTTAAAGAGAAAACGTCCTTCTTCCTCAGCCAGAAATTTAGTAAACTAAGGTTGGCCAATGGGAGGAAGAGTCCCGGGGGAACTCGGTAATGGGCTAGCCAGACACGGGAGCCAGAGCCTGGGAGACAAAGAAGCCCTAGGACTTTGGGAAGGAGGCTAGGTCCTTTGGGTTCAGGCCTGTGAAAGGAAAGGCAGGGGAGAGAGAATGCTTCAGGATGGAAAAAGGCTGACATTTAATCATAAGTGTCCTTTGAAAATTTACTTTCTTTTTCCTCTGACTGAGTGTGATAAGATTATGAAGAAACTTGGAAAAAGGCCATCAGAAAGACCATGGAGAAATGGGTTTCATTAGCCTTTACTTACTCTAACTTCACATTGGGAACTGACATACAGATGCCAGCTCTCAACAGCCCATTTGAGGAGAACTCTAGAGACTCACATCACCCGCTGTTCCTCCTTTCCCATACTACTAGGTACAACTTTATAGAAGGGGGACACTAAGAAGAATTCCAGAAGCACAGTTGGCTTGTGAGGGGTATCTGCGGATAGACTCTCTGGACAAAATCCTGCATGCCCAGCAGGGAGGAGCAGAAAGGAGGAGGGCAGACTGAGAATAAATAACCTCGCTAGGGAGATCTCAAAGAGGAAGTGGAGACAGAGAGGGCTGGGCTTTAGCACAGCCTGCTAGACTTCTTTTGGAAGAGTGCGGGGAGGAAGAACACAGTCTCCTACAGGACAGCTGAGGTGAGTGCAGAAGACCAGGGGGTATATCAGAGCATGTGGGTTATCTATAGCTAGTGATCTCCCATTAGGATTGCTGAGAGAATGAGATACCAGGCTGTGAAGAAGCAGTATACAGGGTGGAGCTGATGGATGTGGAGAAAGCCTTCCATCCAAAGGATGGCAGTGGTAGTAACTTCTATGTTTTTATGTGAAGGGAAGCATTGGGTATTCAGGGTTGCCTAAGGATAGCTTTCAAGCAAATTCTGAAGGATCAGTGTACTAGAACAGGCATCTAAAGCCTGGCAGGGGCATGCACAAATATGAGTGAGACAGAGAATGTGTTTTGTTGGGGTTAGATTGGGGTTGGATTGGGGTTGGATTGGTTTAAGTGTGTGGACAGGGCCAAGCCTGGTAGTGTTAGTGTGGCTGAAGCCCAGTTGTGATTGAAGATCAGGCTTTGGGTAGGGGTGTCTTGCCAGCTCTGAGCAAGGTAGGTGCTCATTCTAGGCTTTGCATCAGGAGTTAGGGTGTGGTTGAGATTGGAATGTAGTGATGATATACCCGGGGCTTCAAGCCTGTTTAGTTTGAGCCTAGTATCTGGTTTTAGTCTTCAGCCTCTTGAAAAAGTGGTTTAATGTCCACCCTGCAGGCATCTCTGCCTTTGTGCTCTTTTCCCCAGCCATCTAAAGTACTTGCAGCTTCTCAAGCAAGGTTTCTTCTCTTTCACTTTGGGATTTTTCCTTTGCTGAAGGGCATTTTCAAAAATAAAATAGATGAAGTCCATTGCTTAGATTTCTCCATTAATTCAGAATTAAACCAACGTTCCTTGCCATGCCCCACAAACCCATGTCAACCGCCTGGTCCTTGCCTTCCTCTGACCTAATCTTAAACTCTCCAGTGTTCTGGCCACCTGGACCTTTCTATTCCATGAATTACCAGACTCAGTCTTGCTGTCAGACATGTTCTTTGTGTGGTCTCCCATGCCTGGGGTGCTCTTTTCTCAAATCTCAGAGGGGCTGGCATTTTCTCATCACACAGCTCTCCTCTCACATGCCATCTCTTCAAAGAGGTGCTTTTAGGGGACTAGTCTTAATTGAGAGAATATGGAAAGGTGAGAGCTTCACAATAATTTTGGGGTTGGAAACTGTACTCTCATCTCTCCATTATTAGCTTAACAATTAAAAAAGATTGGTCAATATTCTGCAAAGATTCATCTGCTTTATCAGATCCAAGCAAGGTATGGGACACAGTGGATGCAGGTAATTTGTGTGTGTGTGATTCTTGGTAATACTCCCCTAGGGGAGTGCAAGGACAGTGTCTTCCTCTCCAAGAATCAGGTATCTTTCAAGCTCCACCAGTCTTTCTCAGCTACAGCATTGCCCTTGAGGTCAGTCATGCCTCTTTGGGTGTGGCAGTAAGAGGCAGAGGCTCCCAGGTATGTCTGAGATCACCTTCAAGGGCATTCTCCTCCAAATATCCCCACAGAGGCCTATGCAGCACCACAGGTCCCGAGCCCATTACTCTGAGCACGGAACATAATGTGTGTCTAGCCTAGATCATGACAGAAATCACCAATCCCCTCCTCTTCCCTCTTTTATCCTTTTTACACTGAACCTAAGTGAGAAGAGCTGGTCAGGTGTCCTGACACATAGACTGGTCCCTTAACTCATAAATCCTTTATCTTGGATATCTTGCAAATTGACATGATTATTTTCCTTATAAAGTATTTTACTCATTTTAAGGAGACCGGGAGAGGTAAGTTAGTAGCCTGGAATACTGGGAAAATCAAGTGTTTGGCATTTAGGGCTTTAACTAATGTATTTATCTGCCAAACGGGACGAATAATATTTGATAGATTGGTGGGACACTTTAATTAGATAAGAAAGAGGTGGAGGACAAAGCTTTTTCATCACCACTGAGGGGGGAATTGGGGCTGGAAGAGAAGGCCAGTGCCTCAAGTTCTCATCCAGGAAAGTCCTCTTTACTGCCCTGTTAGTTATCCTCTGTGCCTGGGCCAGGCGTCCTACTTAACAAGCACCTGTTCCATCTTGCCCCTGGGAGGCTTTTGTTAGATTCCAGGAATTACAGTACAGCACAACTAAATCTCAGAATAAGGGAAAACATGCAGGACTTGGGGTTGTCTAGGTAAAGTTTCCACTTTATGAATCAACTGTTAAATACTGGGAAAGCTATTCAGCTTCTTGAAGCCTCAGCTTTTTCATCTTTTATGCAGAGAAGGCATACAGGTCTCCTGTCATGCAAAATTTTTGCTGGGTTACATATAATATTTTGACAGATGGTATAATGGCATTTTGTAGGCGCTCAATGATCTGTTAATACCATAGAAATAATGAAATCAGTGTTGGGGGTGACTGGAAGGACGGAAGGAAGAAAGGGTGAGGAGCTTTGGTCCTCTTCGCCATCAGCTTTTCCTTGGGTCTGTAAGAAAGAAGGAATTCAGAGCTGGGGAAGAATGTGGCATTGAGCAGGTAAGGAGGCTGAGCTGGCGCTGAAGGACAGAGTCCTGAAGGCCAGAGAGAAAGAAGAAAGAGGACTGAGGCTCTCAAAATGGATTTCCACTCTGTAATAGTTGTAGGGCCTGTTCCCCAGTTCCTGAGGGGAAATAAAAACAAGATGTTTTCACAATTCTCTAGAGAACATTCCAGGGATTTGCTAGGCCACTTTGACTTTTTAGAGAAAATGTTGAGCACAGGGCTACTCCTTGGGGATTAGGATAGTGTGTGGGCTCTCTTAAAAGATAAGAAAAATATACTTTTTTAGTTTATTTTTCATTAATTGTGTATTGTTTTTGAAATAGAATGATCTAGTTCCAGCTTTCTGCTGAGGGCTTAAACCATCCCTTGGCTCTAATGTAAATGGTTCTAATTACTAGCAGATGGTGAGGCTGGAAGGCCACCTGGGGGTCACCTCTTCTCTCTCTTGTCTATCTGGGAGACTGTGGTGGTCTGGGATGCCTCAGGGTTGACAGTCTGAAGAGTGATATTTGTGCTTTCTGGCTGGCTACCTGCCCGTTCCTTCATTTTTCTTCAGCTGACAATTTATCTCTAGCCATAGCTGCCCAAGGACCTCCCTTGCAGGCCAGCTGACTTCCCCTTTTTGATTTCTGGTGATTCTATTGTGAAAATTGATTGCTATCAGTACGTGTGTGTGTGTGTGCGTGTGTGTGCGTGTGTGCGTGCGTGCTTGTGCAGGGGTAGAACAAATGCGTATAGCAGTTAAATGACTGCGGTAATAGATTGGGAGAAATAAATTTGTGGACGCTTCATACATTTTCATAGACCTGTTCTCTGCTTTTATGGAAAATGCACTGTGATTACTTTTGCAATGCCTTTTGACATTCCTTATCTCATATAATTTCACAGCAGGGCTATGAGTTTATTATTCCTCTCTGCATCACTTAGAGCCATGACTTGCACTCCTTGTAACCAGGATTTTGCTCACCACATCAGTCTACCCTCAGAGGTAATAGTCTTGCACATGGCAATCCATCACTCTTTCCCAAGTTGTGTATTTCATAACACAGCACACTTTTAACCTCAGGGAATCTGCCTGCTTTAGCAGATATGTCCCTGTGAAATTGCTGTATGGCAAGGGTGTCCAGCCCTTGAAAGCATCAAAGCCTTCTTGCTGATATCTCCAGGTTAGGGATCCCAGGCCTTCCTTCTTTTCAGCCCAACTGCGCTGCATCACCGCTGCATTTCTGCTGCACTTGTCCTCTTTTCTGTGTATCATCTCATGTCCTCTGCCTCCCTGGGTAACAAAAGACTCTTTGCTTTGACTCTGAAAATTCCTGTTCGGAATTTAATTACCCTGAATGGACCTTGCAAGCATTCTCTCCTCCCTCTAAAAGTCTGTTAAGTTCAGACATCTGACAGTGCTGCCTACCCTGTGGCTATGTTATCCTCATTAGATGCTCACTGAGGGGTTCTTCTATTGATAAGGCTTATTTTCATCTTCACCAAACATTAATTTAACACTAACGACTGAATATAATAGCATCTTTGGCATTAAGGAGTTCATGATTCAGCAGAAATAAATATTGTCAGAATTATATTTATTGCTACTGGGGGGTATATAAAATGAGACCTAAGTAAAATGCTTTGGCAGCACAAAGCAGGAAACATTTAATTATACCCAAGGGAAAGCTTAGGAAAAGTAGCATAGAATAGAGAAAGTAAGCCAAGATAAGAAAAATGAGTGTGGGGGGAGGTCAAGGAGGGAGCTCTGGTGTGACAGAAGGAGAGAAATAAAGCAGACAAAAAGGCACCATTATGGATATCAGCGCGACATTTATGAGGCAGCATTCATTCCAGTGTGGCTGGAGCACAGGGCCATGGTGCGGAGGAGTGTGAGGAGAGATCTAGGGTCATAGACTGTTAGCCAAGTCCTCAGAATTGGTGCAGCTTTCAAGAGTACTTTTTTAAAATAATAGGCAACGGTCTGACTTAATCTGGTTAGACAGCTGGATTTGAAGAAGTTTTTACTAAAGGCCTGACCTGATAGAATCATGGTCTAGCTTATGTAACTAGTGACCACCTTCATAGGAAAAAAAAAAAAAAATCTGGAGGAAAACAGTCAATAACCACAAGAGTTCTTTTTCATACTTAGTATATGTGAGATGTGTTAAATGTTTTGCACTCATTATTTCATTTAATCCTTCCATTGGCCCCATCAGGCAGGGACTATTAGCATTTTAAAGATGAAGAAACTCAGGCTTAGCAAGTTAAATGCTTTGCCCTGTATTGCATGGCTGAGGACTGGGATTTGAATTCAGCATTAATTTCAAGACTCATTACCTCACTAACTACAAAACAGTAGTTCTGGAAGAGTATATATATATGTATAATTTATGTATGTGTGTGTGTATATAATTTTTTAAATCAAGATAAATTTGATGTACTTCACCGGCAGCCAGATGGACCTTCTTAGTAAGATGTTAGAATTATGAATCTGAATCACAAAAGAGAATTCAGGATTTAATAAATAGACCAGGAATTAGTGTACAGCTGTGTGTCTGTGGTGTAAATATATTGGAAAGTACACCTGATCTGATTAGGTGTACATGAATATCTCCTCACAGAAGCAAGAAAGGATGGAGCAGAAGGGAGTTAGGTAACTCTCTTAACAGGAGGTTGCAAGCTGAGATAACCTGAGTCTGATATCCCTTCCACCTGAGCAGTATCTCCCTTTTATAGCCAGATTCAGTTCAGATTCAGCTCGAACCCTGCAATAGGATTGGTTTTCCTTCCAGCGCTGTTAATGCCACCATCTCCGGCTCTGTATTCTAACTGAGAAGATGTCACTCTCAGGCTGAGTGGGCCTCCCAGAAGCAGAGCATGAGAGAGATTCTTGTTCAAATGACATAAAGTGCTTCCCTGTTAACTGTGGGGACTAGATTCTAAGACTCCTAGTGTATACTTGAAAGGCAACCATATGTACACTATGTCTTTTCCTGCACACACACAGCTATGATACACTTTTTCCTTTTCACCCAAAGGAAGCCCTTACGACTCCTTTTTGGCCAGCACCATTACTCTTCCACTTAGAGGAAACAAGGCTGGCTTTTTTAACCCTTATGTCAGGCAGCCTTGGCATCTAGCAGGGACGGTTCTCTCAAGGAGAGCTGTTGAGCCCTTAAAATTCAGCACCTGCTGCAGATGGGAGAGAGGTGCTCTGGATCTGGGTGGGATACTACAGTGGCTTCCACTGTGGTTATTATTTTTTTTTCTGATGTAACCTGAATAGTATGGACAAGTGTAAAACTTTGATGACACATTTGGGCAAGGTTGAGATATAGATTTAGAATTCAAGATTAAATTGCTGTCAGGATTTTATTGGAATTAGATTTATTATAATAAAGCTGTTACTAATTTTGGGTTAAAATTCAAATGGCCACTAAGTATTGGGTTAATGTTAAAGTTATGCTTAAGGTTAGAAGTGGGGAGATAAACAGATTAGTGATAAGGTTAGGTTTCAGTGCTAGTCTGTGTTTGTACTAGTATTACTGTATTTATATTGGAATTCATTTCAAGATGGTAAAATGATATGATTAAATTTACTTTCAGTATTAAGAACAGGCAAGCTAAAGGATATAATAGGAAAAAGGAAGCAATTTTATATGTTTTTATTATCTATCTATCTTAAATCAATGTATATTTGGTAAGTAGCCTTTCTTTGAGAAATAACTTAAAGTACAATTACAAATTTGTCTTAGTGTTTCACTTGTTATCAAGAATGATTATGCAGGTAGGGCTATGGAGTTGGTAAGTAAAAGTGGGTGAATTTGTACTTATGGGTGCAAGTGGGTGCTTGACTTAGTGTTAGACTAAGTTTAAATAGGAGCAGAGTTTGGGTGGGCAACAGAATTAGAGTTTTGGAAAGAGAAAAGGGCATTTAGATGAGAGAGTTTGGGATTCCTGAGGACCTGACAATGGCTTATCTTTGCATTTCAGCCACTACGTGCCCAGCACTGGTCGCAGGCCAGCTCCTTCACTATGGTGGTCCCCACTGGCAATGAATCCAGTGCTACATATTTCATCCTAATAGGCCTCCCAGGGTTGGAAGAGGCTCAGTTCTGGCTGGCCTTTCCGTTGTGCTCACTCTACCTTATTGCTGTACTAGGTAACTTGATGATCATCTACATTGTGCGGACTGAACAAAGCTTACATGAGCCCATGTATATCTTTCTTTGCATGCTTTCTGGCCTGGACATCCTCATCTCCACCTCGTCCATGCCCAAAATGCTGGCCATCTTCTGGTTCAATTCCACTACCATCCAGTTTGATGCTTGTTTGGTACAGATGTTTGCTATCCATTCCTTATCTGGCATGGAGTCCACAGTGCTGTTGGCCATGGCCTTTGATCGCTATGTGGCCATCTGCCATCCACTACGCCATGCCACTGTGCTTACATTGCCTCGTGTTGCCAAGATTGGCATGGCTGCTGTGGTACGGGGTGCTGCACTGATGGCTCCCCTGCCTGTCTTCATCAAACAGCTGCCCTTCTGCCAATCCAATGTCCTTTCCCATTCCTACTGCCTACACCAAGATGTCATGAAGCTGGCCTGTGCTGACATCCATGTCAGTGTCATTTATGGCCTCATTGTCATTATTTCTGCCATTGGCCTGGATTCCCTCCTCATCTCCTTTTCATATCTGCTTATCCTTAAGACTGTGTTGGGCTTGACACGTGAAGCCCAGGCAAAGGCATTTGGCACTTGTGTCTCCCACGTCTGTGCCGTTTTCATATTCTATGTGCCTTTTATTGGATTGTCTATGGTGCACCGTTTTAGTAAGCAGGGTGACTCTCTCCTGCCCGTCGTCATGGCCAATATCTACCTGCTGGTTCCTCCTGTGCTCAACCCCATTGTCTATGGAGTGAAGACAAAGCAGATCCGACAGCGCATCCTTCGTCTTTTCCATGTGACTGCGCACACGACAGATTCCTACTGAATGATTTTCTTTTCACTCCAAGTCCTCCAATTCAGATTTTTCACATCAATGTTTTGGAAGACAGTGTTAAAGAAACAAATTTCCCTTAACAGAATGCAACTCAGATCCTTCAGAGGTGAAACTGGCTGGGGATTCTCCATGTGGAAAGGGGTGGCAATATCCATTTTCCCATATTATATTCCCCATAACTTTTTCTTCCTAATGATTATTAAAACTGGTGGCTGGAGGGTTCTCATTTTACCATCCAGTCTAGATTGAAGTTGCTTCCACTGGTGATCCACAGGGTTCTGAGATAAGGGCAGTGCATCTAAAGGACATTTGCCAAAGGCATAAGCATGACAAAAGGAAAATAAATACAAGAATCCAATAAAATTAGATCATCTAGTTTAAGACTCCAACTTCCTCTTCAGAATTTCTAATATTTCTGGATCTCACGAAAGGAGATATGCCTGGCTTTCTTCAAGATAAACTTCCACAGAGAAGAAATAATTGCTTTATTTCTGGGCACTGGCCCTGAAGGGAACGTTGAAAATAAAGTCTTAAAAATACTATATCGGCCTGTACTTTGTTCAGAGAATGAAAGATAGCACACTTTTTTTCTGAGAGTTTTCATAACCTGTGAACTCTCATTTCCTTATTTAAATTTAAAAATACAATTTTTGGTCTAGGCAGAAATATCAGCACCTTCATTATACTAATTAAATTAATGTTCCATGGGAGGTAGTAAATTGCATAGGATCACATAAGCTCACAAGAATTAAGACTTTTGATATTCAATTCTACATCATATGACAGGATTGGTAGACCAGTGTGTTAGGTATTTCCAGAGTTTTGCATTTTCATGTGGAATATTTAATCCTGTCACTCATTCTGTATTATATTGAGAAATGTCCTATCCCTAGATCTCATGGCTTTAATTTCAAAAGCTCTTGTTCTTCCTGATTTGGTTGCAACTGTGCCTATGTTGTGGAAGCAGGAGTGTGTTTGGCAAACAGTAATTTATTTGGCAAATATTTTGATTAGCATTGGAGTCTGAGACCCTTTAGGAAGAGAAGTAGCTGAGGTCATCCAGCAACCTATGGAATAATGGCAGGACTTGTTGTCACAGACCAGAGCCAAGAGCAAGAGGCACCAAAGGTCTAAGCAGGGCCAATAGCCCATGTGGCTGGAATGGAAGCAAGACTTAGGGAAAGTTGGATGGGTCAAAAGTGAAGAGAGTCTACACACAGGTATTACATGTCCTCACATATCCCCAGGGCTTTGAGCTGTCTTGCAGAGGAAGGTCATAAGATGAAGGTTTTTTAGCAATATCAAGGGAAAGAGCAATAAAAACTACATCCTTGCTGGCTGTGCTTAGAACGAGTTCGGCCCTGTGGCCCACCTGGCAACTCCACAAGCCAGGTACAGCAGTTCTAGCAGTGTGGTAGGCACAATAGGAGTATAAGTACTAGTGGACTGGGCAGAAATTTAGATCACCACCCACGGGGAGAGCCCTAACAGACCCAAAGTGAGGCAGGTGAGTATGAGAGCAGGCAGCATAGTGAAGAGTAGAACATTTGCCAGACTGAATTTTCTTGCCATACCTAGAGGCACAGAGGCCTACCTGGTAGAGAGGCATAGAAACAGCATATGCAGTTTCTTGGACTGTGAGGAGGGAGGAGATAATGATTGTGGCCAAAATGGAATTGGCTGGGTCCGGGTGAGTGGTGGATAAAAAGAACTGAGAGCGTAAGACGGGGTCAGAGCAGGCTTCAGTCACTTTGAATTACGTGGAGGATTAGCTGATCTCTCGGAAGTGTGCTGACACTGGAATTGAAGAAAGAATAAAGAGAGAGAAAACACATATTTTCTTCTTATTAGGAAAACAACATATGATTATTGTAACAAAATTTTCATACAATGTGAAAATAGAAAAGAAATAAAAATATAATAAATATCTCCAATAAAGTTTTTACTTTAAAAGACTTCAAAAATTGTTAGCATTTTGGTGTTTTTGTTTCAGATTTTTAATATGCATCTGTCTGCATGTTTCCGATTGGGCACAAGATAAATATGTGTGTGTCTGTTTTATATTTGCAATCCTTTTGGAGGCAAAATAGATGGTATAAACAGATGAATCAGATAGACCCATTTAAAATGCTTCTAGGGATGCAATCTTTATCCTAGATTTTAGAAGAACAGAGATTCATGAATTTGTCCTGACTGGATTGTTTCACGAATCTAAATACACTGACTACCGACTACTGTAACCACCACTCCCTGCCTAGTGTTTGGTAGGGATCTTCTAACCTCTAGGCTGGATTTCCAGTGATTTGTTTTATGAATACTCACTGAGCATCCCCAAAAATGTCAGAGTAAGAACTAGTATGATGAAAAAAAGTTCTTTTGGGAGATGTGACTGAAAAGTTAGCTTGGAAAGTTGAATCCTGCTTCTGGCCCTCCTATCTCAGCCTCTTGGGCCTTTATCAGAGCCTAGGGGAGCCTGAATAATAAGTCTAGATTACTTTTCTAGATTTTATCTAGAAATGTTTTATAAACATGTCTTCTGGTCTTCATTTTGACTACCAGTGCTCTGTCCCAGACAACCACCACAGACAGCCTCCATGTACACTCTTTCTCTTTTTGATGGTAGCAAAGTTTTATTAAAGGTTGGAAAAGAAACCGGCTCTGGAGAGTGAGTTCATGTCCAGAAAAAGTAGGATGAGAAGTACACCCTACAGGTTGAAGGTGGGCCACTGGGCAAGAGCGAAGACAGAGGCCCACACTGTTTATCTGGAACATCTTTTGCTTCAGTTCTAAATCGCAAGTAGTTTACAGGAGTCTTGCCAAACGCAACTCTGTGATTGTCTTAATCCTCTCTTTAGAATCCATTAAATGCCTTTTATTGCTTTCTAAATTGAGTCCAAACTACTTAGAATAAAATATTATACTAAAGTAGATTTTCCTTCCCTTTTATATCTATTTTCATCCTATTTTCACAGTATAGCTCTAATTTTTCAACAAATCATGTTATTCTGCTATTTTACAACACTTACCGTCTCTCAGTGATTTCCTGTACATTTTTTTTTTGTTTAATACTGGGGATCAAATCCAGTGCCACTCTTCCACTGAGCTACATGCCTAGCCCTTTTTAATTTTTATTTTGATTCAGAGTTTTGCTAAACTTATGATCCTTCTGCCCTAACATCCCTTGTAGCTGGGATTACAGGTGTGTGCACCATTCTTGGCTTGATGTCATGTATGTCTAAGCCTCTTTCTATTCCCTTTAAATTGCCTGTACTATTTTAATTTTAGTAATAACTCATAAGCTGAAACTCATTACGAATCATTAAGCCACAAAAGTATTCATGGTTTGGTGCTCCCAGAGTTTTCATATCACTTTACAACTGGACAATTTCTACTTCAGAAAAGTTTGGGTGATAACTCAGTCACTGAGCTGTATCTGCTGAGGTTAACAAACCATTTTACACCACTCCTTACAGTAAGTTTGATAAGCTTGCTTTGGACACAATGGGTGCATATGAGGAAGGCAATCCCCTTCTACTATGTCTGGGCTTCTGGACACTGGCAGACCTGAATTTAGGAAAGGATCACATTATGCCATCGATTTAAGGTTTTGGTACTGTTGTTCAACGTTTGTCTTTTAGGCACGAGACCCTCAAAGTTCTTGCCTAGAATCTTAGAGTGTTTTACTTTAGACTTGATTTAAAGGAACTGAAGCTGATGCAGAATTAAATTGTAACCCTACCTTTCATACTCCTAAGGGAGCAGGCAGTAATAGAGGGCTTTTAACTCCCAGTAAAAGAAAGTGAAGGATAGGGGTAAGGAAAATCTGGAGATCTGAAATGGGGATGTAAAAGACAATTCCTGAAAGTGGTTACAGGAAGAATCTGTGCCGAGGCTAGTGGTACCATAGCACTTGATTATCACATTTATTTATTCAGTAAACTCTTCAGGAAGAAAAGTGATGAGGTAAGGAAATGCATCAGGAAGAGTAGGACTAAGGAAAAGAATGAAACAGAGAATTTGGCCATAGGGAACTCCTGCTTACCATACGTTCTCCTTATGGTAAGTGCTAGTTTGTTCCCTGACTCCAAAGAACTTTACTTTATTTATTTCTGCCACTGAAGTTGTAGGCCAGAGTGGTAGCATAGATGAAGAGATTTAACTGATTAGTCTTCTCAGATTCAGCCTTGTTCATATATTCAACACACTCCTAGTGTACAATTCATCCTTCTAACTTATTTTATAATAAAAATATTTAATAAATGATTTTTATATACTAAATACAAACAAATCTATTTAGCACAATATATGAATTTCTGTACAAATTTGTTATCTGCCTTCCTGGCTTCATCCCCTATCATTTCTTCTTTAACCCTATGCCACAACCATGTATAAAAAGATATCACAAGTGGCAGAGGGACAAAGGCATCCAAGAAAGCAAACATTTCCTAAAGTATATTTACTTCTTCAAAATGTGGAGATTACTTTTCAGATTGTGATTTTTTTCTAGATATTTCTTTTACGTATTCAATTTCTACTCAGCCTAGAAAAATTGTGTGCATTTTTCAAGATAAAATAGAAATTATTTTATCTGCTGTGGAAGTTTCCCAATTTTCCCAGGTATCTTCTGTCAACTACTGATTTGTTCTCACTAATAAACTCTAGCACACTGCTTTATCAATGGCCTTCATTAGTCTACAGTCTGGTTGTACCTTTAGGTACCTTTTACCTGGGACATAATTGCAAATTCTGGAGATAAAGGATCACATTTGCGGTAATTATTAGTCTTCAATTATCATCACTACTTCCATATAAAATAAAAGTCAAACTTAACTTTGAGCATAAATAAACCTGAGGGTCTTTCCCCTATCTTAGCATGGATAGGGATTTTCAGAGTGTGCTGAGCCTAACCGGTTCCTAGGTAGCATTAGCAGTCTCTTTTATTTTACAGAGACACTATTATATTCCAGATGTCATCATCCTTGGCCTTTTTTCCTCAGAATCCTG